ATCCCACTAAATTGCCAGGCTGGCCTTGAACTCACTCTGTATCCCAGGCAGACCTTGAACCTGCAATTTTTACCTTGGCCTCCTAAAAGTAGCTAAGGCGGGGTCTCAGGTACCCCAGACTGGCCTGGAACTCCGTAGCTGAAGATGATGTTGAACTTTTTATCTTGCTGCTTCCATTTCCCAAGTGCTTCTGTGAACAGTAAAACCCTGTTAAGAGAAAACTCCTGGTCCAGAGAACAGAGTCTTTTGCCTGGGCAGAGTATGAACATTCCAGTTGGGTTGACTCCAGGGACCACCTAAGAAGCTGGACTCCTAAGCCATGATAAGCAGATGGGCAGAATAATTAGTCCTTCAATCAGATACTGTACTTTTATTCCCAGAATCCCTCCCTAGCACAGCGGCTTACCAGGCCATCACCATACCGCTTCATAATATGCCTGCTTTTCTTAATTATTCAGAAGGCCATAATTTCTCCTTTTCTTCTTTCCACTCTTCCTTGAGCATGCTTTGCTCAACACTTTTGGTTTCCCCGATATTTGGACTTTTTCAGCTCTTTCTGAAGCATTCCTGCACCGTGTGGCTGTTTGTCTGCCATGCCAGCTTAAATGGCAGAGTTTTGTTTCGTGTTTTCATTCTCTCCTCCATTCTCCTCTGGGCAGCTGCTGAGATTTATAGGTTGCCTGCCCTGGAGTTTTCTTTTAAACGCTAATAAAATTGTGCTTGAGCTTCTGTTAGAGTCTATTCTTTGTCCTTGAACTGCTGTTTGTGTTCATTCTTTTTTTTGGGGGGGGGTTGTTTCTCTGTAGCTTTGGAAGCTGTCCTGGAACTCACTCTTGTTGGTCCTGAACTCACAGAGATCCGCCTGTCTCTGACTCCCGAGTGCTGGGATTAAAGGTGTGCGCCACCACTGCCTGGCTCATTCTTAAATTCTTTTATTAATAAGACTAGTAACCCCAACAGGAGACCCAGAGTTCCCATGAATCATTGGAGATTAACCCTGGCCTTAGTGCATGCTGGATAAGCATGCTACCAACAAAATTGCATCTCTGGCTTATTATGCTGACTCTTGAAACAGGGTCATTGGTGTACAGTCCCATAAGAAGGAGTCAGAACAGTCAGATGGGGGAAGGGGGACAGGACGACACACCTGCAAGGCAGTTTAGCACTCTGCTTGTCCAGAACCAAACAGGCAAAGCTGAGTGACAGAGACCACGGTGAGACACAAGCCTGAATGTTAGTTCCGGAAGGGAGATTGTACAGGAAATGCTTCCTCTTTATTGGACACGTTATTTCCCATTTTGAGGGAATCACCAAGCAACCCAGAGCCACCTTTTAATCTCCAGTATTGCAGTGCAGTCCTGAAATCTGGCTTTCAGCCCCTACTTCCTTCACAACTTTTTTTGTTGTTGTTGTTGTTTTGTTTTTTTGTTTTTCGAGACAGGGTTTCTCTGTATTGTTTTGGAGGCTGTCCTGGAACTCACTCTGTAGACCAGGCTGGTATCGAACTCATAGAGATCTGCCTGCCTCTGCCTCCCGAGTGCTGGGATTAAAGGCGTGCACCACCAACGCCCGGTGATCTTACTACAAATTTTGTGCAAATGAATACACTGTAAAATTTAAATGTGGGCCGGGCGTTGGTGGCGCACGCCTTTAATCCCAGCACTCGGGAGGCAGAGGCAGGCGGGTCTCTGTGAGTTCGAGGCCAGCCTGGTCTACAGAGTGAGTTCCAGGACAGCCTCCAAAGCCACAGAGAAACCCTGTCTCGAAAAACAAAAAAAAACAAAACAACAACAAAACAAAACAAAAAAAAACACCTTAAATGTGTTCGGTGAGAATGGAGATTGGCCCTTAAGGACCGCTGGGTCAGGAGGAGGAGGGGAAGAGCCTCTTGTTCCTCTTGTTCTGTGCCTGGCACACAAGGGCCGCTCAGTAAACTGACTTGAAGAACAGCGTTGGGGAGTATTTGATGGGAAAGAAGCCTTCTCCCCAGATTACACCAGGACCAACTGCTAGGCTAGCTGTACCAGCATCAGTGTGCACACTCAGCGGCTGTGAGCTCATTCATTAGGGAGTCACAAACGTGGCTGGAGATGGTTTCAGAGCCTGGCTGGCGCCCTGGGTTCCATCCACAGCAGAGACAGATGGCAGACAGTGTGGTGACTTGGATTAGAGTGTCCTCATAGGCAAAGGTGTTTGAATACTTGGCCTCCAGCTGGAGGTTTGGGAGGTGTACATCAGTGAGATATGTCAGTGGAGGTGGGCTTTGAGGTTTCAAAAGCCATGTGCCATTCCTAATCTTTTTAGTTTTTTTTTTTTTTTTTGACACAGGGTTTCTCTGTATAGCTTGACTGTCCTGGAAATAGCTCTGTAGACCAGGCTAGCCTTGAACCCACAAAGATTTCCCCTTGCTTCTGCCTCCAGAGTGCTGGAATTAAAGGTATGAGCCACCCCTACTCGACTCCCACTTGATTTTAAGATATGAGCTCTCTGCTTGTTGCCCCAGTCAGTCATTATGCCTGCCACAATTCCATGTTTTGATAAATGACATCAAACTCAAGGCATGGACTCTTTCTTTCTCTTACAGGATCTCACTATATAGTTCTGACTGTCCCGGAATTATTGATTGTCAAATTCACAGAAATCTGCCTCCGCATCCCAGATTCTGAGATTAAAGGATGTGTGCCACCATTCCCAACAGGTCATGGACTCAACCCTCTGGAAACTTAAGCCCCCCAAAATTCTTCCTATTATAAAATGCCTTGGCCATGGTGTTTTATCACAGTAATACAAAAGTAACTAAGATAGACAGATGGGTAGATAGATTGATTGACTACATAGCCAATGAAGTACACCACACATTTGAATTCTTGTCTTTATTTTTTATTAGTATTGTTTTGGGTGTGTTGTTTATTTACAGGGGTGCACCACCTGTGTAAATATTTGGGTGGATGCACATACACTTCACTAGAGTGGAGGTGAGGGAACAACTTGTAAGAGTTGTTTCTGTCAGGTGTGGTGACACATTCTTCTTTTTTTTTTTTTTGGTTTTTCAAGACATGGTTTCTCGCCGGGTTTTGGTGGCTCACGCCTTTAATCCCAGCACTCGGGAGGCAGAGGCAGGCGGATCTCTGTGAGTTCGAGTCCAGCCTGGTCTACAAAGTGAGTTCCAGGACAGCCTCCAAAGCCACAGAGAAACCCTGTCTCGAAAAGCCAAAAAAAAAAAAAAAAAAAAAAAAAGACATGGTTTCTCACCAGGCGTTGGTGGTGCATGCCTTTAATCCCAGCACTCAGAAGGCAGAGGCAGGTGGATTTCTGTGAATTTGAGGCCAGCCTGGCCTACAGATCGAGTTCCAGGACAGCCAAGGCTACATGGAAAGACCCTGTCTCAAAAACAAAACAAAACAAGATTTTTAATAAGAGAGAGAGAGAGCCGGGCATTGGTGGCGCACGCCTTTAATCCCCGCACTTGGGAGGCAGAGGCAGGTGGATCTCTGTGAGTTCGAGGCCAGCCTGGTCTACAAGAGCTAGTTCCAGGACAGCCTCCAAAGCCATAGAGAAACCCTGTCTCAAAAAACCAAAAAATAAATAAATAAATAAATAAATAAATAAATAAATAAATAAGAGAGAGAGAGAGAGAGAGAGCTGGTTCTTTCCTTCCCCCATGTGGATCCATTGGATCAAACTACTCATGGTCTCAGGCTTGGCAGACAGGCAGGTGTCTATATCCACTAAGTCATCTTGACGGGCTCTCTTTTGTTTTGAGAGTTAAACTCTCACCCTGTAGCCCTGGGCTGGTCTCAAACTAGCAGTACCCCTCCTTCCTCAGGCTCCCGAGAGTTGGGATAACAGGCATAAACCAACATGGTCTATAAACGGGTTCTTGTTTGAGGTGAAATTTCTATGTAGCCCAGTCTGGCCTAAAGCTGAAGGGCCTCCTGCTTTGACTCCCACATGCTGCCATTGCACTTGAGTCATTTACTGGAATTCTTTTGGACCTTGTTCACGAGTTGGTTTGGCTCACAGCCTTGTCTCCACGGCAGATGGCAAACTGTACCTCAAGGACAGAGTATTTGCTATCTTTGGTTCTTTGGCAGAGCTGGTCACCAAGCAGCCTTCCTGAACTGCTGTGAGTTTAGCCTTGGTCTGTTCCTTTTAGCTGAGCAATGACAATGGTCTGTATAAATTGGGGATGATTCTCATGTAGGATCCTTTTCCTTTCTGACCATTCGTGTGGCGCTATACCATGCCATTGCTCTGTCAGACATTCGGCGGATGTCTGCTGACAGACAAGCAGAAAGAACGTTTTTTCATCTGAGTGTTGGAAATCATCATGCACTTCTCTCCCGCCCCCTCCTTTCTTCTCGGGTTTTTCCAGACAGGGTTTCTCTGTGTAGCAATAGCTGTCCTGGAACTAGCTCTTTTTGCAGGGCACAGGTGGTGGTGGTGGTGTTGAGACGGGGTTTCTCTGTGGCTTTGGAGGCTGTCCTGTACCTAGCTCTTGTAGACCAGGCTGGTCTCCAACTCACAGGGATCCACCTGCCTCTGCCTCCCAAGTGTGTGTGCCACCAATGCCCGGTGCAACTAACTCTCATAGACCAGGTTGGCCTTGAACTCAGAGATCCTCTGCCTCTGCCTCTGCCTCTGCCTCTGCCTCTGCCTCTGCCTCAAGTCCTGGGATCAAAGGCATGTGCCACCACCACCAGTCTTTTGTATGGAGGTCAAAGAACAACATTCTGGAGCCTGTATTCTTTTACCTTGTGCTTAGCAGGGAGAAGGGTGCAGGGACAACAGGACAGGGACTGAGGTCTGGTCCTCAGACAAAGGCCAGTGCTTTTGTCTACTGAGCCATCTCTCTGCCCTGAACACTTTTTTTTTTCACAGTATTACCTGACCTCTTTACTCAGAGGGCTGGGAGAGAAGGGAGACTGGGCTCCTCCAGGGAAAAGGCAGAGGCTCCTTGTGAGCAGAGATGACTGGCTGAGGCCTCTGTTCCTGTTGCTTCCAATTAAATTTTTTATTAGACTTAAGGGCAGAGGAGGATTCCATGGGGCATGAATGAAGGTCATAGGACAACTTCCAGGGGCCAGTGCTCTCCTTCTGCCACGTGGGTCCCAGGGACCAAACTCAAGGTGTCAGGCTTATTTTGTTCCAGTGTGTACTCCAAGCCACTCTCCAACTTGCAGCAGTCCCCCTGAGAACAGATGTGCAACACCACCTGGTATCAGAGCAAATGAGAAACAAGAAATGGCTTCTAAGAGCTGTCACTAGCCTCCAGGGCTGCTCTGGGAATCGAACAGGGGTCTGCTACTACAGCAGCACAGTGAGCGCTCTTAACCAGTGAGCCAGCTATCTCTCCAATGTTCCTCTTCCTCCTCCATTTTCTTCCTCCTTCCTGTCCTCCTCCTCCTTGCTCCTCAGTGAAAGGCCTCTCCTGACAGGGTATCCGGTTTCAGTGGCCCCAGTCCACGCCTGGGAAGCTCCTAGCTTCCTTGAGGTTCTCCTTTTTAGCAGGGTTACACATTCAGAATGCCTAGGCTCCCTGGGCGCCCAGCTGCAGCAACACTAAAGAGAATGCCATGTCCCTGAGCTGGGCTACCCAACTGGAAGGTAACCAGGGTCAGAGTTGGAGCTTTCAGGCTGGCCCTTGGTTTTTCTCTAGTCTGGTCACCAGGACTCTGCAAGGACTCTGAGAGCAGAGGGTGCCCTGGCTGTCCTTGCCAAGCTGGGCTGCCTAAGTGAACCCTCTCTGGTCAGGCATCTGAACACCAAGACTCCTCCTGCTTTGCAGATTCTATGGCCTGAGGAAGAATTCAAAAAGACCCTGTCATCACTAAGCAAGAGCAGAGGGGAAGGACTAGGGAGGTAAAGAAGAGGTTGTTGGAAAGAGACAGATACCTTCATCAGTTCCATGTCCTTCCAGCCACCAAGAGTTCAGTGGTGTGTCAGGCCTGGTAACAACAGAAGCAAGAGGATCCCTGTGAGTCTGAGGTCAGCCTGGTCTACATAATGAAGTCCAGGCTGGCCAGTGTTACACAGTGGGGCCCTTGCCCCCGAAGGAAAGAAGAAAGAAGGAAAGAAAATTAGTTCAGTTGGGAAGAGCTAAAACCTTTTATAAAAAAACAGCAACAAAAGAATTCAATGGAAGAATGGGGGCTCAGAAAACATGGCCTAAAATAGGTCTTATTTAGAAAATTATAAAAAGTCAGGAGGGGGTGGCGCACACCTTTAGTCCCAGCACTCAGGAGGCAGAGGAAGACAGATCTCTGAGTTTGAGGCAGCCTGGTCTACAGAGTGAGTTCCAGGGCAGCCAGGGCTACACAGAGAAATCCTGTCTCAGAAAAGAAAAAAAGGAATATAGTTGGTCACAGGATCATGACAAACAGCCCTCCCACCAGCTGCAGTAAATGGGTTCAACTCTACACTACAGGGTAACTAGAAAAATGCTACTCTGGTAGGACCAGGACATACCCAGTGAGGACCTTATTTGAAAGGTCAGTGAAATATCTGTCCTAATTTTGCCTCAGTGGAGGCAGTGGATTCATAACGTGAGAACTATACACCCCAATGCCCTCCTTTTGAAGAGGAGAAGATAATGAGTAGGGCCATTTGATTTCTAACTTCAGTCAGGGGCTGAGTGGCAGACTGGGCCCAATCTCTACTCCACCCACTCCTGCCAACTAAGACATGAGTATGAAGCAAAGCAATTTCTTTCTACTTTATTGTTGTCTGGTTGATTTGGTTTAATATTTATTATTACTGTTGTTGCTGTAATTTGTTGTATATGAGTTGTTTGCCTGCATGTAAATCCATGAACCATGTGCATGCCTGGTGCCTACAGAGGCCAAAAGAAGGCATCAGATCCCCCAGGACTGGAGTTACAGAGGGCTATGAGACACCATACAGGTGCTGAGAATCGAACCTAGGTCCTCTAGAGGAGCAGCCAGTGCTGTGGTAGTGGGTTTGTAACCAAGTGGTCTGGGCTTTTGTTCCTTTGTTTCCGATAGGTCAGGGTTGACTTCAGTTTGCTATGTTACAAGGCTGGCCTTGAACTCCAAACCCTGGGATTACAGGCACGTGCCGCCACACCTGGCACAAAGTAATTTCTTAAAAATGAAGAGCAAACCAGGAGGTGGTGGTCCAAGCCTTTAATCGCAGCACTTAGGACGCAGAGACAGGTGGATCTCTGTGAGTTCGAGGCCAGCTTGGTGTACAGAGCAAATTCCAGGCCAGGCTCCAAAGCTACAGAGAAAGCCTTCTCAAAAACAAAAAAATTAAATTTAAGAAGATGAAGAACAGACAGTAGGACAGACACGGGCACAATAGGAGAATCTGGGGTACAGTGTGCGGCTGTGTGGGACTCAACTCTCCCCTACAGTGGGGCATCAGACAACCTCAGGGTTAGAGTCTTGAGAAGTTGCCCTGGGATCCAGAGCTTCCGCAGTCCGGCCTCCATCTCTTGGGTGGGGCTGTCTACACCAGCTCTCTCTCCCCTAACTCCTGGCTGCTGTGGCACCTGATATTTTCTGGTATTCAACTTTTAGCACCTTTAAAGGAGGACAGAGGGGAGGAGGGACAGAGGGGAGGAGGGACAGAGCTCAGATTTCCTCACTCTCAGCTGGAAGAGGCCTTAGGAAATGGCCTCTGAGCACAGTCCTATCATTCAAATGAAAAACAACACCCCGGGGAGGCACTCCTGGTCGCCGAGGACGGCCCAGCCTTGGGCTAAACTAAGGTCATTAGCCCCAGGTGACTTGTGCTGCTCCCGAGCTTGGCTTGGTTCCTCCCCAGCCCCAGAGCCTGGGGCAAACCCTAATCCTCACCCTCCAAGCAGGTCCCCTTAGGACAGAGTAATCCCTCTGCTCCACTCTGGGGCTCACTCTGCTGAGGAAATAGCATGTAACTTCCCAGGTTTAGGAGAAATAACTTCTCTACGACCGTCACCAGCTGCAGACACCCCTGTCATAAACTGTCCCAGCTCTAAGCCGCCTAGGGCTTTCATCCCCTTTTCTTAGCTACTCATTACCCAGCTTAATTAGGCCAGGAAATGCTCCCTCACAGAGGGCACTCACGGCAGGAGGGGAGGCGAGAGGATACTCTCAGTGGCCCCACTTCCTGAGGCTGAGCTGGGGGTGGGGAGGCCGTTGAGCTCGCCCGCTGGAGGCGGCCGGGTTGTGCGAGCAGCTGCTGGGAGGGAGGCCGAGATGCACCCATTTGCTCCCAGGCCCTCCAGGGAGCTGAGGTTGCGCTTGTTTACGGAACATCACCACCGGATCTAAAAGCTTGGAAGTCCCTGGCCACCCTCCCATCTCAATTAAGCAGCTTCACCAACCCACCCCCTCCCTTTCCTGGGAAAGAGGTTACCACCCTCAGTAACCACTTAGACTATTTGAACCCCATCCCTGATAAAACCAAAGCTGTACACTTAGATGCATGTGCCTTGGGAGCCAGATGGTGGGTCTCCCATTCCCAGTCAGCACCCAACTGTCACCCATAAATTGGCCTCATCTCCTAAAGGCAAGCTGGGCCTCCTCTAAGATGGCACCCAGAGTGACTTCCTGGAGTAGAATTCAGCAATTGTGTGCTGGCTTCCTACAATGCTGCGTGTGCCTGACCCATTTGAGAGGCTTCTGCTTCAGCTGTGGTACAGGATAAATCCCAGTGTCTAGGTGTGAATGAAATGGGATTTGTATAAAGACATGGGAGTCTAAAACCCAGCAATTCCACTGCAAAGCCCACGTTGGCCTTGAGCTTGTCATATAACAAAGACACGAACCCATTACCCTCCTGGGATTATGGGTACATATCACCATGCTTGCCTCTACTCTTATTTTGAGCCCCAATTTCCTTAGCTGCAAAAATAGGGACAGTAATATTAATCTCTTGGCAGGCTGATATGACTTACATCAGTTTTGTTTTTTAAGATTTACTCATTTAACGTATATGAGTACTCTATCTGCATGTATACCTTTATGCCAGAAGAGGGCATCAGATTCCACAATACACGGTTGTGAGCCACCATGTGGTTGCTGGGAATTGAGCACACACTTTTAATCCCAGCACTCAGGAGGCAGAAGCAGGAGGATCTCTGTGAGTTTGAGCCCAGCCTGGTGGACAGAGTGAGTTCCAGGACAGCCAGAGCTACACCAAGAAACCCTGTCTCAAAAAACCCAAAAAGCAAAACAAAAAAATAGATTATTTCACTGGTTATTAAGTTACTTGTCACAGACAGGCATGGAGTCCCTTATCTGTAATCCCAACACTGAGCAGGCAGAGGTGGGAATGTATACAAAAATCTGAGGCCAACCTGGAACTATACAGTGAGACCCTGGTTCAAAAAAAAAAACAACAAACGAAAGTCTGGGCAGTGGTGGTGCACGCCTTTAGTTCCAGTGGCAGAGGCAGGCGGATCACTATGAGTTTAAAGCCAGCATGGTCTGCACACTGAGTTCCAGGACAGCCAGCGATACACAGAGAAACCCTGTCTCAAAAAAGAAAACAAAAACATTTCTTTTAATTACCTGTTGTGGTCTCAGGACACAAAAGAGTAAACTGAGGATCAATAGGGTGCGGAATGGCTAGTCAATGGCAAAGCAGACCATACCACCAGGCTGTAGCTCATGTCCTGGCTGGTTAGTTTGTTAATGTCTGGACACCACAGCCATGCCAGCCCAGAGCCAGGAGGGCATCCCGGATGTCAGCAGTACACCAGCAGAAGGAAGGGTGCCAGAAGGGAGACTGAGGGCTTAGAGTCAGAATGTCATCCAAGAACTCCAGGGAGTGGCTGCCTCCCTCCTGGGGAGGCCATGTCCTCTGAACTCCATGACCTCCGGCCTAAAGTCTCGGTGTTTTTGCTTCCCTACTTTTCCAGTGGCCAGGGTTTTCTCAGAAGAAAAAAATGTGCATTTCTTTTTGTTTGTTTGTTTTTGGTTTTTCGAGACAGGGTTTCTCTGTATTGTTTTGGAGTCTGTCCTAGAACTCGCTCTGTAGACCAGGCTGGCCTCGAACTCACAGAGATCCACCTGCCTCTGCCTCCCGAGTGCTGGGATTAAAGGCGTGTGCCACCAACACCCGGCAAAAATGAACATTTCTTAAAAAGCAGCCTTACTTGGGTCTGATTTATCCAACAGTGCTGGGATTCACGCTTTGTGTATTTGTTGATTTATTTATTTTGGGGATGAAATTCAGAACCTGTGCATGTTAAGCACTTTCCTGCCATTGAGCCCCAAATGATGTGATCTGAAGTTTTTAGATTGTATTTATTTGTTTTTGAGACATGGTTTCATATATCCTGGGCTGGCCTCCCTGTATAGCTGCGTATTGTGGCTGGTTGCAATGTCAACTTGCCACAAACTAGACCCCTCACCCGCATAACTGTGCTGGCTGCCTGGCTGGCAGTGGGTTGTACCTTCAGGGAGCTAAGAAGGGCTGACTTGGCCTCCCCTCTTGCTGACAGGTTGATCTGCCCTGCTGCTGCTGCTGCTGCTGCTGCTGCTGCTGCTGCTGCTGCTGCTGCTGCTGTGGAATAATCTTTTTGCACACTGTTAAGATGTGTCTTTGCCGAGACGCCTTCTGATTGGTTTAATAAAGAGCTAAATAGTCAATAGCTAGGCAGGACAAGGTTAGGCGGGACTTCCGGATACAGAGAGAAGCTGAGGAGATGAATCTAGGCCTGGGAAAGATGCCAGAGGACTTAGAGAGGAAACAGGAGGTTCATCATGGAAGAGAGGTAAGAAGTCACAAGGGGAAGCGAAGATTAATATAAATGGATCAGTTTAAATTATAAGAACTAAAGCTGGATGGTGGTGGTACACTCCTTTAATCCCAGCACTCAGGAGGCAAAGACAGGCAGATCTCTGTGAGTTTGAGGACAGGCTAGTCTACAGAGTGAGTTCCAGGATAGCTAGGACTACACATAGAAACCATGTCTCAAAAAAAAAAAAAAAAAAAAAAAAGAAAGAAAGAGAGAAAGGAAGGAAGGAAGGAATAGAAAGTTTTAAGAGCTAGTAGACAAGCCCAAGCTATAGTCTGAGCTTTTTTTTTTTTTTTTTTTGGTTTTTCGAGACAGGGTTTCTCTGTGCCTTTGGAGGCTATCCTGGAACTTGCTTGGTAGTCCAGGCTGGTCTCGAACTTACAGAGATCCGCCTGCCTCTGCCTCCCGAGTGCTGGGATTAAAGGCATGCGCCACCAACGCCCGGCTTAGTCTGAGCTTTTGTAATTAATAATAAGTATCTGAGTAATTTTTTGTGAACTGGCGGCCCAAAGAAAAATCCATCTACAGCTGTTCCCTTCACTGAAATCAGAACCAATGTCTCCAAGCTTTCTTCGTGGCCTAGAGACCAGGAACTCTATGGGAAACTTCCAGGCTTTTTATGACAGTGGGATTACTGAGGTACCCAGCCTTATAACTGACCAACAACTGGATACTTCTATGACACCCCCGTTCTCTGCTATACCCACCCTGTGAGAGACACTCATTGCGAGACTACTCTGACCACAGAGGAACCAGCCTGCAGGACTAACTCTCTGCTGACTTAGTAATTCGTGTGTGTGTGTGTGTGTGTGTGTGTGTGTGTGTGTGTGTATGTGTGTGAGTGTGTGTGTGTGTGTGTGTATCCCATTAGTTTCTCTAGACAACACTCTGACTAATAAAGGGAGGATTCCTTTGAACTCCTGGGACTGCAGGTGTGCACTATCACACCCATTTTACGCTGGGCTAGAGATCAGACCCAGGGCTGTGTGCACGCTAGTCAGTACTCTGGAAATAAGCTACACCCCAGCCCTAGTTTGAAGTTTATAAGAGCAAAGTACTCTCCCATTTTACTAAGGAAAGATAGTAAATGCCCCCCCAGGCAGGGTAGGGGAATGGAGAATACTGGGGTACCTCCAACTCCTTCCAGAGGAGGGCAGCACCCCATTTACCAGGAACCAGTGCTCAAGTCCTTAGGAATTTAATCTCAGCACCCTCTGAGGCTCTATTTCAAGCTCTGTCTCTTCCTCCCTGCTGGGGCTCCCATCCCTTCTTCCCATCCACCCTGTGAGACAGTGTATCCCCAGACTAACTCCCACACGGGCCATGGTGGGAGATGTCACCTGTATCCAGCAACTTGGGGCAGATATCTGCTGCCTGCATTGTTCCTTTGATCTGGGGCCAGAAGACCTGAGGAACTCTGACACTGGGCACCAACCAATCACTCACCTTAAAAGTTTGATGAACCACAGGGCGGTGGTGGCACACACCTTTATTCCCAGCACTTGGGAGGTAGAGGCAGGCAGATCTCTGTGAATCTGAGGTCTGCCTGGTCTACAAAGCAACTTCCAGGACAGGTTCCAAATCTACAAAGTGAAACCCTGTCTCAAAAAACCCAACAACAACAACAACAAAAAGTTTGGTGAGCCTTTTTTTTTTTTCTTTTTTCTTTTGGTTTTTTGAGACAGGGTTTCTCTGTATTGTTTTAGAGGCCATCCTGGAACTCGCTTTGTAGACCAGGCTGGCCTCGAACTCACAGAGATCCGCCTGCCTCTGCCTCTGCCTCCCGAGTGCTGGGAGGTGAGCCTTTTTCTAGGTAGCCTTCAGCAGGCATGGGCATTTCAGGTGTACCTCCCATAATAGTGGGAGGAGGCTGAGGAGCACTGTCGCTCTCCTTGGAGTATCCCTTATTGGATCCCTGGCCTGACAAGTCACCTGCCCCCTCCCTCCCTCTGGATCAACAAACCAACAAAGGCTCTAAGGTCTGAGACAGGGTCTTGGTTTGTGTCACCCACCCACTGAGAGTCAGGCAGGAGAGGTGAATCACAGCAGCCACTAGCAGCATTCGCCCGCCAGCCTTTGTTCCGGAGCATCCCTGACGACTCCCCACCCAGGAACACCAAGTTCCGAAGAGCCGAAGTTGGGATGGATAGAGGGGTTCTTGGTTCGGAATGGACTAGCTGAGTAGGGTGTCATGAGGCTGATTGGTATAAAACACATCCACCCTCTCAGAGGATGTTTATGGTTCGATGGAGTGGACAGTGTTAAACATACAGACAGACACCAGGACAAAGGAAAGACACCAGAATGCAAGAAAATGGGCACAGAAGGCTTGAAAAAGATGTAGCCAAATGGAGTCAGGAAAGGGCTCTGTGGAAAACAATGGAAGCCCAGCATGGAGGTTCATGCCCGTAATCCCAGGATTTGGGAGATGGTGGCAGGAGGATTACTGTGAGTTCTAGATCAGCCTGGGTTAAAAGTAGGGCCAGTTTCGCTGGGCGTTGGTTGCGCATGCCTTTAATCCCAGCACTTGGCAGAGGC